AAGGGACCTTCGTATTCTCTACACTTATCTCTTATTTCAGTTGCCAACTCACCGTCTGCAACACACTCAAGCATAAATTTCTTATATTTTGACAAACAAAAGTAGTTAAGAATTAGTTAGTTAGACTTCAAACATATAGTTTGAAATATACTTACTCGTCATCTATTATCTTAAATCGAATTGATGATGAAGTCGTTCCATCATCTCAAAGCATCTCCAAAATGCATAAAGGTTTAAATTTCAGCAATCGGTGAATCAGTGATAAACCGGGACACACCATCATCATCATGATCCTTGGTAGACACATTCTCTAAAATATATATATTAGAATATTGTTACATTATATACTACGATTTTATAAATAACATATTGATATATCATCAGAAAACATACCCCCGTCAATTGCTACACACCAATCGGTTAACACACATATATCAAAAGGACCTTCGTATTCTCTACATCTATCTCTTATTTCAGTTGCCAATTCACCGTGTGCAACACACTCAAGCATAAATTTCCTATATTTTGACAAACAATATAGTTAAGAATTAGTTAGTTAGACTTCAAACATATAGTTTGAGATATACTTACTCGTCATCTATTATCTTAAATCGAATTGATGATGAAGTCGTTCCATCCTGATCACAGCGTCTCCAAGGTGCATAAAAGCTTTTAGCCATCTTACCGGATAATTCACAACTCAAATTAACACCACTAAATTAAAACACGTCACACATAATCAGCTAGACAGAACAAATAAAACGATAATATACAATTTAAAAACACTCAGCAGACAGTACCGTTTATCCCTCAGACAGAATGTTACAGTTGAATATGCACCCCATTTTTCGGAATCATATACATCCTTACATGGACTGCCATAGGAAGGAACAGGATGCTCTCTAGAGAGTAAACCACACCACGTCCCAGATCGACTTACATTTAAGACCCGACCTATCAAATCTTCATAAACAATAAAAACTAAACCATATTAACATCAGCAACATAATAATAACGAAATTCAATATCTAAACCAAAAATAAACACACCAACTAAATAGTCATCATCATGGACACGATCCAATATCCTTTGAAAATCAACGAAGTCAAAATAAGCGTTTTCACTCTACGTGAAGTCTTGTCAATGATAGTTGATGGTAGGAACAATATTTTGTATCTATGAGAAATCAGTCTACAACTATCCTCACACTCGATAACAGAAAAACGACTGATAATAATCCAACTACCAACATCTATGCGAGACGCTGCGACATCGATTTCACCATCTCTAACAGTGGCCTAAATTTTAACACTCTGTGAATAAAACAGTCAATTAGACATCAACATAATTTTATAATATTTTTTGTCATAATATAATAAATACTTTTTCATCCGATAATATGAGCTCCAGGGAAGAACGTTTCAAAATTAGCATATGCACCCACGTCTGTAAAACCTAAAACAAAGATAGTACAACCATCTTTGGAAGGTCTCCAACGGGACACACACCCTCCAAAACACATTGAACCAAGAGAAACTGTATAAGTACACACCGAATTCTGGTATCCCGATATACTAATATTCTTTTCGATGAGTATATCATTCGGTTCAACGTTTTGGTGATCCTCACTATCATCGTCACTCTCAGTCTCATCATCCAACATAACATCTTCATCATCATCCTCATCATCATCAGTGGAATCAGCATCGTCATCATCTTCATCTTCATCATCACCACTATCACCTTCCGAGTTATCACTTGAACCATCAGATCCTTCACAAGACTCACCGTCGTCAATAAAATCATCTTCAGAATCGTATTCATCTGTTTGGTCCATATCATCGGTATCATCGTGCAACTCGGCATCAGACCCCATGTAATCCTCAAAACCATAATCATCATCAGTACCACGGCCAGATAGCACATCGGTATCATCAGACTCATTATCTTCTGCATAGATAAACATATGAAAAAACAACGTAGTTAGAATTTAAAAATAAATATTAAAATAAGGGAAAAAATGGTGCTCGAAGCAAAAAACGAACCATTGAAACCATTAGATTCTTTATTTATAATCCAAACCTTCCTCGCAAAATCCCAAAGAAAGGTCTTGTGAGCATGATCGCTCGAATTAACATGATCAGAACCTAAATGCACAAAACAAACATCAGAACAAACATAAACACATATAAAAAATTTAATATACATCATTAACAAAATTATATTACAGGAAGAGCAGAAATACCTCCTTTGATCAAAAACTTCTGATCAAGAATAGATATATAATACGCAGAATCAAGATCTATATAAAAAATGAATACGTTCGTAGATTAATATATAGTAAAGATACGAAATTGTAAGATTAAGATACAACACTACGAAAGGTACAAAATTTTAAGATTAATATACAGTACTACGAACCTTCGATTACAGGATTATATGTCCGCAAGGTCCACTCGTCGATAGCAAGATCCATAAGTAACTTGCATGGATAACCTAAAAATACAAAATAATTACTAATAAGTATTATAACTTGCATGAATAACCTAAAAAGGCACAACAACTTTTTTTGTGATATCGACGAAAACGTATGGAGTTACATAACGATAATCAGATATCTCTTTTTGATCCATATCCTGGCGATAGGAATTCAACATAGATATGAATTCAACATAGATCTTAACTCGCGAGCATAAGCCTGGTTATCAAAACCTATGGACGAAAAAAATTTTAGAATCATTAAAAACGTACAGAACATATATATTATTATTAATTTGAAGAGAGCTAGATATATACCTGAAGCAGTAGACGAAACTTCCCAAGTAATCATGACTTTCGATGGATGATCAAAGCTGTACTTAGACGAATACATGGTTAGGTTTGCATGCAAATAGACAAACATGATGAATTTTTTCTAAAGAGATCCAAAAAGTTAATGCTATTATAAAAACCTTAGCAAAATAAACACGGAACTCTAACAGAGAAACTAAACTGTAAATTATGAGACGATTGTTTTAAAACACTCATATGTATACGTGTAAACAACCTAGAGTTTATTTTTTTATGAAAAATACTAAAAGGAAATTCTTGTTCTATATACGATATTATCTTCCCATGAATTTAATAGTTATTAACTATAAAAAATGTAAAGATTCCATTCTAGATAATAACAAAGGAAATTATGACATATTTCCGTTTGCAAAATATTTAAAACACTCATATTTATACGTGTAAACAACCTAGGGTTGATTTTTTTATGAAAAATACTAAAAGGTAATTCTTGTTCTATATACGATATTATCTTCCCATGAATTTTATAGTTATTAACTATACAAAATGTAAAGATTTCATTCTAGATAATAACAAAAAAAATTATGATATATTTTCGTTTGCAAAATATTTAGCAAATAAAAATTATTTCCAAACATTAAATTGTAACAAAAATCTAAAAATTAAAAAAAAATCTAACTCCATGACTCAAACCCGTGAGCTTTCGCTGAACGGACAAAGCACCTAACCAACAGAGCTACCATCTCATTCAGTGTAAATGATATATTGGAAGGTATGTATAATGTTTCTGTATTTCCACGTAGAGTAACCAATCGCCAAAACCCTAGAATAAAACGTAAAAAAAATAGTAAATGAATATAAGCGGAGGCAGAAAATATTTATTTATATAGAAAACGATTCCGGGTTTATATGTTTCTTTATTTATTTGTTCATTATTGATGTGATCAACTATTTCTTTATAATTATCACAAACATGGGCTTGTGCTCACTTTTCTCTAGATCTGATCCATGATTGGTTATAAAAATTGATTTAAAAGAGAGAAATTTTGAAAAAAAAAACACAATTAAATTAGTCTAAGATTCGAATTTGCTACGTATGAGATAAGAATTCGGGTCACTAACCATTGTAGTTTGTGTTATTTTTTTGTTAACCAATCAGCAGTTAAATATATATATTTTTATTATCGACAAAAATTGGTATTATGCCATATATTTTCTGTGGGCTCTACTCCATGTTTTGTTGTGTATAAATTATGGAATATTTCCTTTTAATCAGATTTTCTTTTTAATTGCAGAATAATCAACTGACCAATCAGAATAGAGTATTTTCATTAATGGCACAAGTGTAATTTAACATCCTCCACCAAAACGACATAAAAAATAATAATAATTAATTTATATCAACCAATCAAATCATCAGAATTTTATTAAACAAAACGACACAAAAATTGTGCGTTAAACCACAGACGAATTCACTTCTTAATTACTAATATAGAAATCTAAATTCACATAATAACAAAGTTTATAATTAACATTACATCAATGTATACTTAATTAATCGCATACTCTTATTCTACTAATATACAAATTTTACTGTTTAAAATTAAAATATAATAACAATTTTTTGATTTAAAAAAATAAATAACAAAAACAAATTATATCTAAACAAAAAAATAAATGCAACTTATATTAGAAATAAAAAATAAAATATTCTCATGCAGACGCACGGAGTTAAAATCTAGTTTTTATTAAAGCTAAACAAAAAAGAAATGAATTTACAGAGCCCAGCCTAGCGTTTTCGCCATATAACAAGAGACCATCCTAGGCTTCTTAGCCCAAGAAACCCAATAAGAGGAACCAAATCGAACCGAGTTGACTAATAACTAGGATATAACCAAATTCAAACAGCTACTTCTGGTAACGAAAACATCATCATCATCGTTCATCAATCATCATCCTCCCATGTGGACCTTACACATTCCTATGGCTTCTCTTACACCCTCTTAAATTCTTATTACTTACAGCCTGGTGACTGTACTTTATGTATATGTAATTGATATTCTGTGAAATGAATTTGCAATGCAAGGCAAGACATCTCTCTCTCCTTTGTCTCTCTCACTACCAAAAATTAAAGATAACATTTAAAAAAAAAAACTCTCATTACCTACCACTTGATACCTCCATCTGCTCTTCTTCTCTTCATACCTTCTACCAGATCTCACTCCCCACATTTCAAAGTTTTCTCCTTTTCTTGAGAAAAATTACGTCTCTTTCCTTTTTTTTAGGTTAGACATTTCCATATTCGTTTATTTGCTGGGCCACAGAGTGTTTATTTGGATTTGTTTATTTAACTAATACTATAGTTGTTGTGGTTACATGAGAAGCTTAGATCGCACAGTCCTTTCTTCTACATTGACACTTGCCTTAAGAGGGGGGCCAAAGAAAGGTCTTGTCTCTTCGTCTGAGCTGTTCATTTTCTTGGTTTCTTGCATCTTGGATTTTGCTACTTACGGTTTCTTTCTTCTCTCAGATTTTAGTTGTTCTTGGTGTTTAGGATCTGGAAATTTTTTCTTCTCAAGGTTCGTAAATGGGTGTGAAGACTTCAAAGATCTAAAATTTTAACAGGTAATAATAACTAATCATTAAATTCTCTCATCTTCATTGGTAACTTACTCTGTTCTGTATTGTCTGCTTACATGTATTTAATACAATCGTTATTGCTTGTGTATTTGCATCTTCCAATTGGGCAACTAATGCTCGTCTTTATATGTCCTTGATTTTAGCTCCTTGTGTTGTCCTGTTGTGTGTTTTCCTGTGAAATTTTAGTCTTTCTGTGCGTAAATTTCTGTTTGGATAAACTTGGGACCACAAATGCACAAACTTGGAGAAAAGACTCTTCTTTCATCACACTTTATTTTCTGTCCGAAGTCTCTTTGTTTCTCCATGGTTTTGGATTAAGAATCTGATTTTCTGGTTAGTGTTGATTTTAGGGAAGATGGGCAGTGATCTGAAAAGCCAGCTATCTAGAGAGAGTCATATCTTTGGACTTAAAGTTTGGGAAGTAATTGGAATAGCTGTTGCATTGCTCATCATAGCTATCCTCTCGGTTCTTTCATATTGTCTCACTACGAAAAAGAAATCAAGAACAGCTAAGTCCGGTCTTCCCGTTATCCAAATCCCTCCAGTCTCCAAGGAGATCAAAGAAGTAAGAGTTGAGCATGTCTCGGCAAGTAACTTTGCTCCTCGTGAAGGCATTCTTCTCACAATCCAGGACAAAAACAGCAGAGATTCAGACAAAGTCTTGGTTCATTTAGATATAGGGAAGAAGCGAAAGAATGGTGGAAGTAGTTGTAGCCGGTCAGGCTCGTTTCACCATTTAGAGATCATAGATAAACATTCTGAGTCAGGTGAAGAAGTCTCTGTAAACCAACCTTCTTCATCATCATTGTATAACATCGCAACTCCATCTCCATTGTCTGGTTTGCCTGAGTCTCATCTTGGTTGGGGACACTGGTTTACATTGAGAGATCTTGAAATAGCAACTAATAGATTCTCAAAGGAGAATGTTATTGGTGAAGGCGGCTACGGGGTTGTTTACAGAGGAGAGTTGATCAATGGAACTCCTGTTGCAGTTAAAAAGATTCTTAATCAGTTGTGAGTTCTTGTTACAAGAATTTGAATTTCTTTAACCTTTTTTTGGTTTGTTCACTCTGTTGAGTTTTTGCTTGATTGAAACTGTAGGGGACAAGCTGAGAAAGAGTTTAGAGTCGAGGTTGATGCTATCGGTCATGTGCGTCACAAGAACTTGGTCCGTCTTCTTGGATACTGCATTGAAGGCACTCACAGGTATAAAGATTGTAACTTTATCTTAATCTTCAGAGAAAGAGAATCCAAATTTGTGACTTAACTCACTGAAACCAATGGAAAATGTTATTAGGATATTGGTTTACGAGTATGTGAACAATGGAAACTTAGAACAGTGGCTTCATGGAGGAATGAGACAGCATGGCTATCTAACTTGGGAAGCTAGAATGAAGGTTCTCATCGGTACATCGAAAGCGTAAGCAAGATGTTTCCTTTTTTCAATCACAAACCCGTCTCAGTTATTCTTCTCACATGTTTGATTATCCTCTGTATTTGTGTAGTCTTGCATATCTGCATGAAGCAATAGAGCCAAAAGTAGTACACAGAGACATCAAGTCAAGCAACATACTGATCAATGAAGAATTCAACGCAAAGGTTTCAGATTTTGGACTTGCCAAGTTGCTTGGCGCTGGGAAAAGCCATGTCACAACTCGAGTGATGGGCACATTTGGGTGAGAGTAGCTATAAAACTGAAAGCAAAAAGGGCTTAAGTATCAATGCTCAAGCTATCGTTTTTTCTTAACGTTTTGCAGGTACGTTGCTCCAGAATATGCAAACACAGGGCTGTTAAATGAAAAGAGTGATGTCTATAGCTTCGGTGTTGTGCTCTTAGAAGCAATCACAGGAAGAGACCCTGTTGATTATGGCCGTCCTGCTCATGAGGTAATAAACTCTTTTTCATTGGGTTTTATATTGAAAGCTTGAGAAACTTAACAACGATCATTGCAGGTGAATCTAGTGGACTGGTTGAAGATGATGGTTGGAACAAGGCGGTCCGAAGAAGTAGTTGATCCAAAAATAGAGGTAAGGCCACCTACGAGATCATTGAAACGAGCCCTTCTGACGGCTCTGAGATGTGTCGATCCAGATTCTGACAAACGCCCAAAAATGAGCCAAGTTGTTCGTATGCTTGAGTCTGAGGAATATCCCATTCTAAGAGAGGTTAGTGTTTTGACAGAGAACATAACAAGAAGGATACATAAGAGGTGATGGTAACTGTAAATATGTTGATTTCAGGACCGACGACGTTCTAGAACACGAGAAGGGAGTATGGACTCAGACATTGACATGAGTACACCGGTCTCAAGATCACAAAGCAAGAGATGATAATCTGAGTAATCTATCAATCTGCATAAGCTTTCAAACGTGCTTTATGCTATTCTTTGAGCTTGTTCCTTTGCATTTTCTGTTATTCTTTTTCCCTTGCCTCTCACCTGTCTCTTTGTCTTGAGTAGACTTTAGATGATTTGATTGTACATGGAATTGGGTTTGTATTTTAAAATCCTACATCAACATAAATACATAATAGATTGTTTGTACAGTATTATTGAATCAGTTCTTCAGTATCTGCTTTACTTTACAACACAAAAAGTCACATAGCCAAAATTCAAAGCAATGTAGCTCACGGATGTATACATTAAATTTCTATAAACGTTGATCAAACATCTGGTCCCGTAGCTCAGTTGGTTAGAGCGTTGGTCTTATGAGCCGAAGGTCGCGGGTTCGAGCCCCGCCGGGACCAATTTCGGCTTCTTTTGGTTTTTTCTTAAGGTTTCTTACCTTAAAAGCTTTCACAAAATGAGTTAACAAAAGGGATCGCATGGAAATGGAAGCAAATACAAACCTTAAAAGCTTTCACAAAATGAGTTAACAAAAGGGATCACATGGAAATGGAAGCAAATACAATCTGTACTTCATCGACACCAAAGCTTTGAAGCAACATGCATCAAGAAGTTGCAATAAAAAGCTTGAAAAGTTAAAGAAAAGTTGAAACCGAGATATGGGAGACGACCATCTTTTTTCTTTTTGGGTTAAAAAATAGTGTTTTTAACCGATATTCCAAAATCCAGACCCCCTTAGAAATTCAAATCCAACTCAACATTTCAATCAGATAAATTAAAAAAAAATAGTCAATCAGCAAAGAAAAATCGAATTGCAAAACGAATCAAATATCAATTTGCTTGCCCACACTTTTGGACTTCAGAGGCAGAAGAATGGGAAAAGGGAGAATCGACCACACCTACTAGAGAAGTTGAAATTAAGGGAAAAGTGATGCTAACCGACTTATTCTAGGCTCTAGGGGTTGGGACTGAAGAGCCTTATACAGACAAACGATTGCCCAATGCTACTTGTGACCATATTTCACCTCTTCACAAAACCAATTGACAAGGCTACTTTGCTATTCCATACATTTCTTACTGTTGATGAATTGTTTTTAAAACATAATTCTTTCTTTATTAACTCTTCAACAAGAATAAGTATAGAAAGTTGTAAATCTATCTATATATTCAATACATTATCAAACTTCTCATTGCAAAAAATTATATATGGCTTTCTTCGAATATAGATGAATAAAGTTAAATGAATGCTGATATATACATCCGTATTTTTATGGTATTTGACCATGGTTTTTCAGTGGTTTTTTTCGAAAAGACTGTTTTAAGTGTTTTTGCATGCGTTTTCTGTGGTTGTAATTCTTCAGAAGGGAATGTAAAACTTTTTCACCCAATAATCGGTTTTACAATGTTTGCATCTCCTCAATTTGAATTTTGGAAAAATGATTTAATTGAGTTTAGATAGAATTTAGTACATTAAGATACTTCAGGTGGTAGCAAACTACAATCTAATATATTAGTTGAATGAGAACGAGAGATTTTTGGAGAAGAAGATAAGTTTGTTGGAGAAAATTATCATTAAGTTTTTCGTTACAATCTTATATACAATTGAAATTTGATTAAACCGTACAAAACCAACAAATGAGTTAATTTAGTGTTGAACCGGCAAAAGGAAACCGATCCATATCTATATTAAGTCCAATATAAAACCTACATACATGTTGTTCTTCGATGCCTGAAGCGATAAGATTTGGTTGCTGAGGAGAGGATGGGTTTTCTCCATGTCACATAAGCTTTCTTCCCTCCAAATGCTATGAAGGAAAGTGAGGTCGAATTCATAGTTGTATCTGAGATGATAGTTATTACTCTGTCCCAGCTCTTCGAGAATTGAGTTTGTAGTGGCCCTTGGACTACAGAGTCTCTATTAATTACTAGTCCGAAGATACAGTCTTCGTTCCTCGCGCGTGAGACAATTTGGCTAAACCTATCAAACCCTAAAGTCTACGACATGCGTAGGATAATGAAGTCCATTACTCCTTTTAACTTTATTCTCTTTGTATACCTTCACAAATTAATGCGAGTATATATATATTGGTAGTCATTCTTCGTCGCCTAACACATTCACATACAAAAAATGTCATTTCCTTCACTCTTCTATGCACTCCTCTTGATCTTATTCTCATCGTCACGAGTTGCTCATAACATAAATCTAAGCCCATCACCGGCTCCAAGTCCGGCTTATTATGATGCTAACGACAATGCCTTAACCGTCTTCGACGTTACTTCGTTTGGAGCCATCGGCGATTGCACAACTGACGACACTTCAGCATTTAAGATGGCATGGGACGTGGCATGTATGAGCACAGGTATTGAGTCAACGATGCTTCTTGTTCCTTACACCTTCTGTTTCTTGGTGAAGCCAACCACCTTCAATGGTCCTTGCAGAACCCGCCTTGCATTACAAGTAAGCTACTTTTATAAATAAATGGATAAATCATAATTAAACCGAAGCCAAAACTAATATCCAAGACCTGTAAAAAACCAGATATTTGTCATTTAAAACATTTTCAGATGTCATACCATATCGAATTTCGCAGATGCTGGAATTTGCTTCTTGCCTTCTTTTTAATTGAATATAAAATTTATTCAAACGAAAAAAAAAACTGCATGTTGCTCGTTTTTAAAAGGAGAACAGAACATGACAAATGAACTGTGCTTTAGATCTTATGCTTCAGTAGGTGTTTCCAGCCATTTCATAATCATATATTTCTGTGTTTTTCATAGTATCATGTACGGTTTATTTTGTTTTCTTGATAGATCGATGGGATCATTGTGTCGCCAGATGGACCGAGGTCATGGCCGTGGAACTACAAGAGGCAGTGGATAATGATTTACAGAGTGAATGGACTATCAATTCAAGGCTCTGGTCTTATCGACGGCCGTGGCCAGAAATGGTGGGACCTTCCTTGCAAACCTCACAAGGGTATTAATGGAACGACTCAACCTGGTCCTTGTGACAGTCCAGTGGTTAGTCATTCTTTCACAATCACATTTTGTTATACATATATATAAGATTTTGTGATGGGTAAAGCAATTGTCATTTGATGTTAATATCAGGCGATTAGGATATTTCAGAGCTCAAATGTGAGGATCAAAGGGCTTAACTTCAAGAACAGTGCTCAGTTCCATGTAAGGTTTGACAATTGCAGTGATGTTGTTGTAGATTCCGTGACCATCAAGTCACCAGCTTCTAGTCCCAACACTGATGGAATCCACATTGAGAACACACATAACGTTCAGATTCGCACTTCTGTGATTTCCAACGGTACGTTTTCCCCTACTCTTCTAGTTGTTTGACATGTAAATTCGTTGATTTTGATCAGTTTAATGTATGTTTTTGATTCGGTTACAACAGGAGATGATTGTATTTCAATTGGAGCCGGCTGCTTTAATGTGGATATTAAGAACATTACGTGCGGTCCAAGCCATGGGATTAGGTATTTCTTTCATAATTTCCATTAAAATTCTATCCATCTTCTGCCAAACTCTATCTGCTTCTCATAGAGTAGGATTAGATTCTCAGCCTTTTTGAGCTCACTAGCCTCTCTTGTGAACGTTTTTCTCTAACCAGATTACTCTTAGAACTAGAAGTGAACGTAGCCTAAAGGTTTATGGATTCCTTAGGCTTCAAATAAAATTTTGTGGGGTTTTACTTAGTGTAAAGAAGGACTTATGAGTAAATGTTGCAGCATAGGCAGCCTTGGAGTCCACAACTCGAGTGCATGGGTCTCGAACATAACTGTGACCAACTCAACCATATGGAACTCGGACAACGGAGTTCGGATAAAGACATGGCAAGGAGGGTCAGGCTCGGTTTCAAGAATCGTGTTCCGTAACATTTGGATGGTGAATGTTCGTAACCCTATAATGATAGACCAATACTATTGCCAAACCAAGAACTGTGCAAACCAAACAAGCGCAGTCATTATCAGGGATGTTCTGTATGCAAATATCAAAGGGTCTTACGATCTGAGAAGCCCACCAATGCATATTGGTTGCAGCGACTCTTTCCCCTGCACTAACTTGAGACTAGAGAATGTTGACCTGTTTCCATACAAAGGCCAGCTTTTGAATAACCCGTTTTGCTGGAACGCGTATGGAAGCATGCAGCCGATTACAATCCCACCTGTTTATTGCCTGCTTGAGGCACTTCCAGACTGCTGACACAAGAAGATGTGTTCATCTCTATTCACCAACTTGGTTTAAGATTCAGAACAAATATGAACACAAAAAGATACAACTTAGTCAAAAGGTTAGGTATTGTCCTGAAAGTCTACAACTTTTTAGAATACACACTACATTCAGTTGTGATAGGCCTGAAGAAGTCAAATCTATTTTGTATCATATATAACAAAAGATATTCACAAAGTGAATTTTGTGAAAATGGATCAGTACTGATTGTCCAGAAAGATTGAAGATTTTACCGAAGTCTCAGTTCATTAATTTGCACATATATTGTTTGATCAAGCAAACACTTGTGTAGAAGAAAATGAAAGAGATGATGCATATATGTAGAGGAGATAGTAGGGAGGAGAACTTATATTCCATTTATTGATTGGCGAATTTTGGTGAGGAGACAAATCAGTCCATGACGCACATTTTTCATGAACAAGAATTAGCCGCATTTGGGATAACATTAGTTGCAAATAGAAGCGAGTACCTCCAGCAACGAAGCCGTGAATCTCATCTGAGTCTCCTCATTCACAGCAACGAAAAGAGGAACATGAACAAAGAGCGAACTGGTCTTATTCTGCTCTGCAAATCTCAGTGAGTGGTAATAGACATAGTTGCACACAAATCGACCTGCATCATCTGATGTTATCACCTCAAAGCCCTTCTTCTCCAACGCCTTTGTTATCTCTTCAACAGGAAGAGTAGTCTGTAAATCATACACCACTCTTTGATTGGAAAATTCTGCAGATCACAAGATCAAGAAACACTGCTCGAGGAGATAGTGTCGACATACCTTTCTTACAGTTGAGATGGGACCATCAGAAGGAACAATTGGTAGATTCTGCAGACCACAAGAATGTTTCATAGAGCTAAACAACTAATCAAACAAGAAAAACCAAAGTAGAGTGAAGCAAAAACCTGAGGCTTCCAACCCAATTCATCGGGGCAACGAAAAGTCGCTTCATTCACAGCTTGTTGCTCAATTGCAAATTTCGTAGCGCCACTATTAACTCCAAAGTGAACCTAAAGAAACACCAGAACAAACTTCTTCAGCATCGAGAATCAAAGCAAGTACTCTCTCAATCGCTTGGCTCAACCAACTAACTCACCCATATAGTTTTTCCAGAGGTTAATGACTCTGATTCTTTCGTGTTAACGGCGGATTGTAGCAACTGGTAAAGCGATGCAAGAGCTCCCTGACCAGCAGTTTCAAGCACAGTACAGCTTCCAAGAACCATGTCTTTCGACTGACTATTCTTCGCTAGATATTCTTTCAGGTTAGTTGCCATTTTCTCTGTTGGGTTTTCTGCAACTCCATGGAATTTTTTGAAGCCTGTGATGTTAATTGTCACAGCCGTTGGTCCTTCAGAACCCATCAATACAACTGAAAAACAAAAAAGGTTGTTTTTTTTTAAAACACTGACACAGTGACACTAGCTCTCTATTCACAATCTAAAGACAAACCAGATTTAGAACAATCAGTTCTTTATCTGACAACAAAAAATCATCAAACGAAATTACAAATAAAGAAACGAAACCAGATCTCAACAAGTTTAACTTGATTCGCAACATAAAGGTTATGACTTTTTCAACGACAAGGATAAAGTTTGCAGCTTATTCTAATTTCCGTAAATAGCGAACGAACCCAGCTGATTCAAACGATGAAAAGGACAAAAATTTCAGAGGTCGGGTTATCAAATTACTGATGGATAACAGCAGAGTGCAAATACCCAATACAGAAAAATGGAAAACTGGATCAAACCCAGTTCAAAAAATACGCAAAGAAATGATAAAAAAAAAATCGTAAGTTTTACCACAGCGAGACAGATATTGAATCCTAATACGATGAACACAATGAGAAGCTTTCTGTGTTCTTTGAGTGAAATCGATTGCTTGTAAAATCTGAGAGAGAGAGACGAGAGGAAATGTGACTCAACCACCAGTCTTTGTCCTTATCCAATCAATGGAAACCTAACTTTTAATCATTTTCCACTATGGACGGAAGTTCGATAAAATCATAAAACAAGACAAGAGACATGGAACATAGGGCTGGCAAAATATCCGTTATATTTGCTTCGATCCGTTATTCGTTTCGATTCGATCCGAAAAATCTGGATATTCGTAATTTTATGGAGCAAAGCAAATACTAAAATTTAATATCCGTTAAAAACGAAGCAAATCACAAATACTAAAAAAAATTAAGACGGATATCCGCTCCGGTATAAATATATATGTATATATAAATATATAATAAATCATATAAAATGTATAATTATTATACATAAATGTAATTTTTGTAAATTTTTGTTTATAAATTTGATTATTATAAATATTAAAACTTAAAAAGTTAAGAAAAAATATTTTTTTTAAAAGAAAATATTGTTATTTTTAACTAAATTTTGAATTTTTTAATATTTATTTTAAATATATTATTATTTAAATATTTTTGTGGAGCGGATCGGATATCCAGCAAATATTCAGATTTTTGGCGGATATTTGAAAAACGGATATCCGGATAATTACGGAGTGGATACGGATCGGAAACATGATTATCTGGACGGAGCGGAGCGAATCACGAATATCCCTAAAATCCAGGATATCCGCTCCGTGCCCACCCTAATGGAACATACATATGTTTAATATTCTTTACTGATATTACAAAGGCCAAAAAACAAAAGTGGTAGGTCACTTCCAAAAGAAGATAATAATTAGAATAAGAAAAACAATAATTGCTATATGATAATTGAGTGATTCAAGTGGTGATGCCTGTATATTGCATTGATATGCGTGAACGCCTGAACTCGATTAGAAAAGATGGGACATCTCAACTAAACCATTAGAACTTGAACCGAAATAACCGGATTAAAACCATAATTGAAGCCTTCCTATGGAGTATGAAATGACCGGTGCGGATGTTCAGTCTCACCAATAATCTCTACAGGAACACTCTCCGTTCTTGAAATGATGGAACCTGTTTGCATCTCTTAGAATGATCTCTCTCTCTGTCACTTTAGAAATCAGCTTAATAGCGGCGTGGCAATCTCTACAGACTCTAAGGTTTTTTATGACCCGAATGGGAACTCCTTCGGGTAGCTTTAAGAGTCCATAAGCCACTGCGAGTCTCTCGCTGTGACATCTCAGGTTGTCCACTTTCTCTTCCTCGTCCACATCATGCAACACATTGCTGCAATCAGGACTATAACCAGCTTCTCTCAATAATCCATCTATTTTCTCCAACATCATCGATATCATCGCTTCTTCGGGATGGTTTCTGATACCTCCACGAGTGAAACTGTGCACTTTCTTATCTATTTCAATCCAGCTACAACCAGGAAATTTATTTACATTCTTTGTCCTCATGTTTTTCCTCAGTTCTGCAACATCTCCCCACTTAGCTCGAGATGCGTTTATGCTTGATAGCAAAACGTATGGACCAGCGTTTTCTGGTTCTATCTCGAAAAGCTTCTTTGCAGCAACTTCGGCTATATCTAGTCGTGAGTGAGTTTTACACGCTCCCAACAGAGAACCCCAAACTGTAGCATCTGGCTTTACGCTCATACTTTCGATCAGTTTCATTGCCTCGTCTATCCTTCCTGCACGCCCAAGCATATCCACCGTGCAAGAATAATGCTCAACCATTGGCGTAACGCAAAACCTCGATTCCATTGATTGAAATATCTCAAGCCCTTCCTCGACTTTGCCAGCATAGCTACATGCAGTCAGAATTGCAATTATGGTGACTTTGTTTGGCATTGTACCAGACGATGGCATCTCATTGAAAACCTTAAGCGCTTCCTTTCCTAAACCATGCGATGCGTAACCAGAAATGATTGAATTCCACATGATAACATCCTTTGAGGGAAACCTGTCAAACACTAGCTTCGCTTTCTCAAGTTCACCACATTTGACATACATGGTCATCAAAACAGAGGCAACATACACATCAACATCAAAATGGCATCTCACCAAGTGAGCATGTACCTGTCTACCATATTCGAGACTTGCTAAAGTGCCACAAACCGAAAGAATGCTGATCAAAGACGGAAAACTCGGTCTGACTCCATGTCTCTGCATTTCACCAAACAAATCAAGAGACTCCAATTCAAAACCTTTTCTTTCATAAGCTTTTATCATTCCTCGCCAAGTCGCATTATCTCTCTCCTTCATTTGATCAAAAACCCTCCTCGCTTTATCCATCTCTCCTTGTTCTCCAAACCCAACAATCATAGCATTACACGCAATAACCGGCTTTATCGGCATAGCCTCAAAGAACTGCTCGGCGTCCTCTATTCTCCCACTCAGTGTATACCCCAAAAGCATAGAAGTCCATGAAACTTCAGTTTTCTCAGGCATCACTTCAAAGAGCTTCCTAGCAACATCAACACGGTGATTCTGCCCGTACCCTGTAATCATTGTGGTCCAAGTAATCACATTTCTATCTCTCATCTCATCGAAAATCCGTCTTGCCTCATCTACTCTCCCTTCTTTACACAACCCACCAATCATGTTAGTACTTGCTACAACATCTTTCACAGGCATCATATCATACAGCCTACGCGCGTCATCAACACGCCCATCATCAATAAATCCACTAAACATCACAGTCCAAGAAACCTCATTCTTCTCCGGCATTCTCCAAAACAACGATTCCGCTTCAGCAACCATACCTTCTTGCACATAACCTTTAACCATCGCTGTCCAGGAGACAACGTTCCTCTCTGGCATCATCTCAAACGCATTCCTGGCTTCTTCAATCATCCTGTTCTTGATATACCCTGAAACCAACCCGTTCCACGATACGATGTTTCTCTCAGGCATTTCGTCGAACATGAGGCGTGCTTCTCTTGCCATGCCGTTTGCAAAATACCCAGAGACGATGGAGTTCCAGGTACCAATTGCTTTGAAGCGTAAGGAGTCGAAAATCTTCCTAGCTTCATTTATTTGGCCGGTCTTTGAGAGACGAGAGATTTGAAAGCTGGAATTGACTGATGTAGCTGTGCAGTAGGTTCTATGTAGGATAAAGTGAACCCTCTTCATTCACGTATTGATTCAAGGAACTGCTCAAAACCAGACGAAAAGCTCTACGGCTAGCTAATTTTGGACAAGAGCGTCCACTTAAGGTTCTTCGAATTTCAACATTTGAATTGGAAGATGAGAAAAAAAAAAAAAGCTGAATTGTTTGTTGGTTTGGGTCTAAACAAATGTTCGATTATCGGGAGCTTTTGTTCTGTTGTGTTTTTCTGCTGTAATTTTCGCTGATGAAGACGGTGAATTATGGGTAGAAAAAAAAAGAAACGTTCGACCTCGGAAAATGCAAATCTAACCCTTAAACTCACTGTCAATTTGTAATATAACCCTTCTGTATTCTACCATATATATGACATTGTCTATATTTTTTTTTTTTTTTTTGGTCAACAGCCTAGATATGATATTGTCTATTTTTTTTTTTTTTGTCAATAGCCTAGATATCTAGAACGGTTCAGAAATCCAAACCGAAGATACCGAGTTAACATACATAACATCGTATGGGTAGACTCGTGCACTTCGTGCTAAGTTGTCTGCCTTCATATTTTTTGCGTGCGGAATGTGTGAAATTGAAAAAAAGGTAAAAGCCTCCTTACTCTTCACAAACTCCTCTAGATGTAAGTCAAAAGCTGGCCATTCTTCTGGTGTCGACACCATCTTCACCAATTCAGAACAGTCTGTTGCGAAAGCTACCTCCGTCTTCTGGTTTGCAATCATGCATAGCATAGCCCAGATAAGTGCTTCTAGTTCAGCATGTAGTGGTGATAAGCTTCGTCGTACATTCCTTGCTCCTAGGATTTTCTCCTCCATTCCATCTTTAAAATAGTACCATCCAAGGCCTGTCGCTTTGTCCGTGTCTTTCCAAGACCCATCTACATAGCACCCCCCCCCCCCCCCCTCATAGCGAGAGGTGATAGAAGGGTTGTTTGCCATTTGCAGTTGGGGTATCGATTCGCTCTGTTGTGCTGCTTCCCAAAGTTTGGCTTCCGTTTCTGCAATCCGTAGTGTCATTTGCGGATCCTTATCGATATTTGAAAACCACTTTTCGTTTCTTGCTTTCCAAATGTACCATACCATCCATGGGAACTGTGTGTTTTGATTCTCCTTCGGGATTCTCCAAAAAAAATGATCAAAATTTGCAAAGACCGATGACATTGGAAAAACTCCTGTAGGAGAGGGTATCTGAGAGAGAGCCCATACTTGCGACGCTGGTGGGCATTCAAAAAGAGCATGGTTTATTGTTTCTTCCTCTGCTCCACACCGAAAGCATTGCGTATCACATTGGAGTCCCCGATTATTTAAATTTGTAGCCATTGGTAAACATCCTGTTATAGCCTGCCAAATGAAATGCCTTAGTTTAGGAGAGCATTTCAGCTTCCAGGCTTGTGCCTGTAACTTTGTAATGTCTGGTCCAACAAACTTTCCATATTCGATCTGTGAATATTGGTTCTCCACTTGGTATCCTGATTTTACCGTATAGCGTCCTGTCCTTGTAAAAAACCAGCCGAGAGAATCCGGTCTATATGTATTGCTTATAGGCATACTCCGTATTATTTCTACATCTCATTCATCAATAATTGCATTCAGTAAGTCCAGATTCCATGTATTTGTTGCTGGGTCAATCAAATGATTAACTTTTAGATTCGGGTAATAATTGTAACCCTTACATATGGCAGACCTCGGGCGAGAAGACGGAATCCAGGGGTCATTCCATACAGAAATGGTTGTCCCTGAACCGACTCTTTTAATTAGCCCTTTGATAACCAGAGATCGTGCCGAGATAATGCTCCGCCATCCATACGACGGGGAGTATGATTTGATTGGATCAAGAGGATCCGATTTTCGAAAGTATCTTCCTTTAAAAATCCTTGCAAACAAAGATTGTGGTTTATCTATTAACCTCCACATCTATTTTGCCAATAATGCCGTATTTACGTGAACCAAATTCCGGAAACCCATTCCTCCGTCTGATTTTCGTCGACACATTTTTTGCCACGCCAGCCAATGCATTCC